ATAGGCTAGCGTATGTTTATTCTTTCAAAAGTAGACTTAACTCACTCAAGCGCTGCACGTTACTGAGTCCGGCATTGCAGAGGGAAGAACCAACTTTTATTCTTGAGCTACGGAGCTCTCTATGCTCCGTATAACTGTTCCTAACTTAAAAAATATACTCCGTGTAACATGAAAAACAAATCAAAAACTCAACAAATTTTGAATTATGGAAATCATGAGAACAACTCAAACGGTAAAAGGGATAAAAAGATAACAACATATTCAAAAATGTATAAAATAATACAAATTGTAAATAATTTATTGAATTTTCAAATAATGTATAAAAGAAAAAAAATTAATAAGAAAAATTACAAAAGAAGGGAAACTTATAAGTTTATATAATTATAACTACCTGAAATTTAAAAAGTTTATAAAAATATAGGTAAAAAGGATAAAAATGTATTTAAAATATCAGAAAACATGAAAACTGATGGTAAATTTATGATCGAGTAACTTATTTTTTTCTTGTCTATAAAATCAAAAATAAAAAATATAAGTTTTCAACAAATGTATAAAAGAAAAAAATTAATAAGAAAAAACACAAAAGAAGGGAAACTTGTAAGTTTATATAATTATAAATATAAATACCTGAAATTTAAAAAGTTTATAAAAATATAGGTAAAAAGGATAAAAATGTATTTAAAATATTAGAATACATGAGAACTGATGGTAAATTTCTGAAAGAGTAACTTATTTTTTTCTTTTCAATAAAAGAAAAAATCAAAGAAACATACCACGTGTCAAATTTATTCAACCTCTGAAATAATGTAAAACAAGAAAAATAAGTATTTCCAAAAATATTAATGTGTTAAAACATGAAACTTTTATATTCGTGTGAATTGTAATTCTTAAAATTTCAAACATAAAAAATAAAAATAAAATGAAATAGTTTTCAGAAAAAATAGAAAATATGAAAATAATTAAAACTTTATAAAAGAGTAAAAAATTTAAATCTAAACAAATTCTAAAATTAACAAAAATAGGTAAAAAAAAACCTAAAATTAAGAAAATATAAAATAAAGCAAGAAAAATAAAAGAATATATGAATTACCAGATACTTGAAAAAACAACATATACTGTTTTTTTTAAATCTGTCAAGAATACAAATTTATAAATTTTAAGATAAATAAAGTACAAAAAAATAGTAAAAACTAAAAACAATTGTAAAAAAATAAAGAATACAAATTCTGATATTTGTAAAAAATAAAAGAAAATCTCAAAATAATATATAAACTTTTAAAACATTCAAAAAAATATAAATAATTGTAGAAAAGAATATAAAAATAGAAAATAAGATTCTTTGAATTTTTAAAAATCATAAAACTAGAGTTAACCAAAAAGCATGTAAAATATGCAAACCTCGAACATATAAAATATAATTATTTTATTATTATCATTAAAGTGCTACTTTGTTGCATATTGTTTCTTTGTGTTTATTTTTGTTGATAACTTTAATTATTTCTGATTCTTCATGATTCTTTTTGTTTATTCATAAATATAAATTTATCATTTTAGGTGTTTTCATATATAGCAATATCTGATTTTTTATTCCAAATCTCTAAAGTGTAAATATAAATGTAAATAGAAAAAAAAACAAAATCATTAATAAAGAACAATAGACAACACGATGCAACAAGATGCAACAAAATGCAACAAGATGCAACAAGATGCAACAAAAAATAACACATACGATGCAACAAAAAACAACATGATGCAACAAAAAACAACATGATGCAACAAAAAACAAAACATATGATGCAACAATAAACAACATGATGCAACAAAAAATAACACATACGATGCAACAAAAAAGAAAACGTATAAAAGTAAACACACACACAAATAGCAACAATGAAATAGAACCGGAGAAAAGCAAGGAAAACACTGAGAAGTAGAGCCAGGGTTTCATTATAAATTGATAAGAACATCATTCAAACATTTAGTTTGGTTGTGCCCCAAAAGAAGCAAGAGGATGTAAAAAACCTCACAAGATATACAACAATTAATTAATCCATAAACTTTCTATTCCCATTGTATGTCATGAATAGCCAACTACTACTGTCCTTCACATCTTTTTGACTTGTTTTCCCAGCCAAAAAGGAGCAATGCATTTGTAACCAGTGCCTTCCAATATCTAAATCGAGCAAAAATAAGAAAATTAACCAAGACCTGTAGCTTATTCACTAGGTGCAACAAATTAATGAACAAAAAGGCTAAACATCAGCAGAATGGATGAAGAACATTATTATTCACCTTACAGAAATTGTTTAGTAATTTGCTTAGTTAGATTAGAGTACCTTTTCCCCCTGATTTGAGTGAATTGATGCGATCAACACTTTCTTATAGATTTTTAAAACTTGTGTAAAGATATAGCATAGGGTAAGAAATTCACAGATTAACAACTACAAACACATCAGTGTATAGTCCAATATTGAGCACAACCCAATGCACATGGAAAGCAAAACAACAAGAAATAAGCACTGCCTAATCAGTTGGCTAATCCCACTCTTTTGTTTTCATGAAAGAAATTAACTAACACTGCCTACTAAAGAACAGAAAAACTAAAGCTCCATGTGGTGGAAGACCTAATCTCCTCTAAACAGCATACATGACTTTTGACAAAATTTGGTTGAAATAGACTTTGATGTTACTCCTTTTAGATGTGCGATATAAGCAAAGTAATTACAACAGAACAGACCTTAATGGCGCTTATTCTGGACCTTGATCCCATTGAGTTGGCAGTCCCGATAATAGACGTAGAGTGGACTACAGAGATATACTGGCAAAAGGGATCACTTTGTTTGATTTTTGCAATTTCATATACGTGCTTTCATGTGACCAGGGCGGCTGCTGCCGCTCTCCAATCCCGCCGCATGCTTCAGGTACCAAGTGACTGACAGAGATTTCAACGTGAATTCGAAGGTTTTGTCCTTGAAAGCAGTTATGGACATAGGCATTTTAGGCTTGCATTTCTGCATAGGGGCATTGAAATCCTTGCAGAAAGTCATTCAGATTGTATTGACCTAAAACCGGCCAGTCGGTCCTACTGGCAGTCCAGACATTGCAGCTCTGGCTTCAGCCCTTAGACAAATTGTCGCCACCAGGGAATGCCGAGTCAAGATCTCCTTCAACGTCGCCATGTGGTTTATACTCTAAAGTTTAAATCATAGAATTGTAGCCGAAATTACATCAGGAGTACACTTTGCTATAGATATGAAACAAATTGTGCAACGGACTCGGCAGTTACTACTCTAAAATTTGTCGATTACAACATACCGAGTATATAATTGACTTTGTAGGATGATGGCTAGGGAGGATCTGAGATGGATTTTTCATCACCTCTAGCAAAGCTGTCTGAGGCAGATCTCGACCAACTGGAAGTAAATCCGCACAGGACCGATGGCAGGGCGTGGAGCCGCACATGACGGAGGGCGGAGCGCAGAGCCACACAGGGCGGAGGCAAAAGGGCGGAGGGCGGAGACGCAGAGGCCGGAGGCGCGACCAGAGTTACGCGGGTGGAGGAAAGCCGTGTGCGCTTCTGCTTCAAATCGAGAGGTCGTAAAGATGCCAAATGGCGATCTATGAGTTTGAGTTTTGATTTTGGATATTTTTGAAATATAAAAGTTGAAAGTGAAAAGGCAAAAGTTTAAAATTGAAAGAAAAAATGTTCGGTAACATAAATGATATTCGCCTGGCAAAGATGGACTGAACGGGATATTTCCACTATAATTTACTACTTAATCTAATGATCGAACTATAATTCAATGACCTTAATTTAAATTATTACTATCGAGTCCAATTAGCCACTGCTAGTTATTCAACTTTTACTAATTTCAACAATTATTAGTTTGATCGGCCCCATATAGTGTTAGACTATTAGTTAGATCATTATTAATAATCATCTTACTTATATTCTATTCTGAATTAAGGTAATTCAAATAACGGCTATTAGCCCTAAATGAGACTAAACGTAGTCCAAAATATCACATTAGAATTAAACTCTTTTTATTTCCAAAATAGGATTAATATATATCTCTCCTTCCTCTTCTATCCCCAACCTATAATTTCTAATAGATTTATTTGTTATTACAAACATCATAGTTTTATTTATATTAAAAACAGAAAAACTCGAAAAAATATTTATTAATTAATCAAAATCAGGAAAAAATAAAATAAAATAAAAAAACTATTAAAAAAATATATATTTTAAAAAACTTAAACAAATCTAATAAAAAAATAAAATAAAATACCTAAAAAATATTAAAAATATGTAGGCCACTACCTCTGTATCCTTCACTGCCCAGCACAACCACCTACGATTGCCGGAAAAATGTCGTCTTGTGTAAAAAATGCCACATTAATCTGAAAATGACATAAGGATGACATTGTCACACTTTTGAAAATATTCAGCTTTCTTTTCAAAATTGTCATCACGATGACGTTTTTTCCCCAGCTTAACAATCTTTTCCTGCAACCGGAGGTGGCGGTGCTAGAATGTGGCTGAGGTGGTGGTTGAGGTCTGTATATTTTTATTTGTTTTTATGATTTTTATTTGTTTTTATTTTAATTTTTTTAAGTTTTATAATGATTATTCAAAAGATCCTAAGGAAGGACAAAGGAAAGGGTAGAATAGGAAAAGTTAATCCTGTTTTTGGAATTTAAACATTAAACTCCTAATGTTGCAATCATCTTTTTATTTAGTCTTATTTAGAGAAATCTCCCCTCAAATAATCCATACTAAAATTAATAAACGACCCAACTATAAACATTAATTAGTTTATAATTAATCAGCCCATTAATGCTCTTTAACTCATTATTTAGGATGTTTTTGCTGAGATTGTTTTCCGTCCCAGATCAGATCAGTCCAGACATAAACATACCAGACTAGACCAAACCATACCAGTTCAGACCAGACCAGACCAGACGTCCACAGTTATAAAAACACAGTGACCAGACGTTTACCAAATCGGACCAGTTCAAACCAGATCAGACTTGAACATACAAGACCAAACCAGATCGACAAATTTCAGTCCAAGTAAAAACATCATAATCCCATTGAAAAAGTGATAAATTTCCTAAAACTGAGTATTATCAACTATAACTTTTTTTTGAAAATAGATAACTTAATAATTAATAAAACTGAGATTAAGCGCTCCACTATGTGACTACTTTGATCTGCCGAACCTCTTTTCGGGATATCCAAGCTTTCCAAAACCTCCTGTTGAGCATTGAATATGTTTTCACTATGAATCAACCACTTGTTCTCTGTATGCACACGGCCTCGTCTCGTATCTGCTCGTAGCCATGCCCCATATGGCTTCACTCCAATCCGAGGTCCGTTATGTGTATTAAATGAGCAAAAGCGGTCAACATGTCCAAGAATCCCACATGAAAAACAGAAGTTTGGAAGTCTTTCATATCGAAAATCCGCCCATATCCAATTGTCCCCTTCCTTGCAAATCTTCAATCTCCTAATTAAAGCCACATTTATATTAATTGTTAATCTTATGCGCAGAATACATCTATGTTTCCCCCGAGAGTGCGCTAATCAACTTGAACAAAGGTCCCTATACTATTCCCAATTCCCCGTGCTGCTTTAACCGTCATGTATCCTATAGGCAGATTGTGAACCTGAATCCAAAAATCTTCCCGGCCCAATGATACATCAAGAGGCCTATCAATGCGCCCTAATCTCCTTATAACCACTAAATTATGCTCGAAAGACCAAGGTCCCTCCTCAACAACTCTGGTAATGTCTCTTTCATGGTAAAATTGGAGGAGAAACTTGGAAGCGCCAATTTCCTCAATTGTGACTCCCCGAACCGGTCTCCAAACCATAGCCATGGTTTATTACTTATTATCACCCTTGCCACGGCATAGAAGGAACATGCCCATCCAACCTTGCCATCACCCCCTATCGGGTCAACTTCTAGGACCAGCCCCCTGTTTTCTTCCTCATCAATGGTGACTCTGTTGTAATTCTCAAGCAACATATCCATTGAAAAGTAATAAGACTAAAACAGTGGACAAACTATCCCAAAGAATCTGCAGAAAACAAAGACTACGACAGCCAAACAAAAGGGAGAAAACCTCCTCACATAAGCTGTCTCCAGAATTCACAGCCCACCAAAACGGATTCTTGGCAGTAAGAACAAAACTCACAACCAACAACCAAGAACAGACCCTTCAACGAAAAGATCAGCAAACAAGCAAAAACTTGTTCAAATTGAACGTAGGTTACCCTCGACAAAACGAGACGCCGGATAAACGATAAGATGCAACAAGACGCGTGAGTAAATCGAGACAAAACTGTTCGATCTGAAACCAAACTGGGAAAAAATGAAACCATAAAAAACAAAGAGACCTGAAGCTGAGGAATGAAGAGAGAAGAAACACTGCAACCACAGCCAACCGGCGTCACAAGTGGATGCAGCCGCTAGGGTTCAACCATCGCTGACGGCGACCATTCAGCTCTCTATTCTTGAAAGGAATTTAAACTATTCATGGTAGTTACATATTCATCTCATACTTTCACAATTTATAAATATGAAAACGTACTTTTTATTTATTTATTATCAACTATAACTTATACTCCGTATTAAAGATTTTTCAAATCCAATCATCATTATTCTTATTCACACTACTTTTCTATTATTATTATTATTATTATTATTATTATTATTATTATTATTATTATTATTATTATTATTATTATTATTATTATTATTATTATTATTATTATTATTATTATTATTATTATTATTATTATTATTATTATTATTATTATTATTATTATTATTATTATTATTATTATTATTATTATTATTATTATTATTATTATTATTATTATTATTATTATTATTATTATTATTATTATTATTATTATTATTATTATTATTATTATTATTATTATTATTATTATTATTATTATTATTATTATTATTATTATTATTATTATTATTATTATTATTATTATTATTATTATTATTATTATTATTATTATTATTATTATTATTATTATTATTATTATTATTATTATTATTATTATTATTATTATTATTATTATTATTATTATTATTATTATTATTATTATTATTATTATTATTATTATTATTATTATTATTATTATTATTATTATTATTATTATTATTATTATTATTATTATTATTATTATTATTATTATTATTATTATTATTATTATTATTATTATTATTATTATTATTATTATTATTATTATTATTATTATTATTATTATTATTATTATTATTATTATTATTATTATTATTATTATTATTATTATTATTATTATTATTATTATTATTATTATTATTATTATTATTATTATTATTATTATTATTATTATTATTATTATTATTATTATTATTATTATTATTATTATTATTATTATTATTATTATTATTATTATTATTATTATTATTATTATTATTATTATTATTATTATTATTATTATTATTATTATTATTATTATTATTATTATTATTATTATTATTATTATTATTATTATTATTATTATTATTGTTATTATTATTATTGTTATTATTATTATTGTTATTATTATTATTGTTATTATTATTATTGTTATTATTATTATTGTTATTATTATTATTATTATTATTATTATTATTATTATTATTATTATTATTATTATTATTATTATTATTATTATTATTATTATTATTATTATTATTATTATTATTATTATTATTATTATTATTATTATTATTATTATTATTATTATTATTATTATTATTATTATTATTATTATTATTATTATTATTACTGCTATAATTATTAATTACTCCCTCCGTTCCATAAAATTTTTCCACCTCGCCTTTTTGAGATGTCTCAAAAAATTCTTTTCATCTCTCTTTGTAAAGTTTTGTGTGACTATCAGTCATTTACATTTTTCTTACTCAACCACAATCATACATTTTCTCTTTATTTTCACTTTCTTAAACTTCGATTCAAAACAAAACGGTAACTATGTTGCGGGACAGAAGAAGTATTATTTTTAACTTTATTATAGTTAGTATTTATATTATTACTGTTATTAATAATGTACAACCTAAATTAGGTAGTCTATATCAACTCTTCTAGCTATTTCACTACGAGACCGTTTGGTGTCTTTATTTTTCGGTTTATCAGCCAATTTTTTGACCAAACACGTAACTTTTGATTTCGCGCGCTGAATTGAGTAATAATAAGGAAAAGTAAGGTTGGAGTTACTATTCTGGCTGCATTGACTGAATTTAATGCAGACGACCAATTTTAGCTATTGTTCATATAATTTTTTCTTTATTTTATTAATAAAGTATTGTTGAGGTTTATTCCTTCAACCCTTGGACCCAACACGTAAGCCCAAAGATTTCGAGTGGAGTGAGTGTGTGGTTATCTAGCCCAACAACTATCAGATGAATCAGGAAACAAGAGTAATAGCAGGCAATGTAAATAGGTATTATTAACTTCGTAATAACTCCCCTAAGTACAATCTACTTGCTAAAAAGGGCACGTCGGCCGTTCGTCTTACAAGGCGATAGAAATGCTACTCGTAAGAATGCTGGAGCTAGTATGCTAAGAATAGAAAGTTGCCAACCCTTTACAATGAAATAAATGCTTCTATTTATACCCGCCAATGGGCAGGTGGCTGTACTGACGTGGCAGCCTGTGGACCGCTGGTGTCCCAACTACCAAATCTTTAGCATTAAATGCACTTCCCGCCAGAATCTAGGTTTCCCGCCGGATCAGTGGGGACGTTCGTCCACCCCGGAAGTGAGTTGGATTGCTCCAAGTGACCTTTGAGGGATATCGGCTGTTCGTCGCCTGGCCTTGATAGATACTCACTATGTGCACTGGGTTTTCCCCGATGACCACAGGCTTGCTCCGGGGACGTTCGTCGCCATCCCTGCTGGCCCGTGGTTCTGCTCTTTGTCTCTGCACAGACGTTCGTCGGAATGAGCTGCTGGGCCTGAGTCCTCCAACACCAGACGTTCGTCCATCCTCAAGAGACATGGGCCTGTGGGCTGGCCTGGTTTCTAGCTGGACGTTCGTCTGGCAAAATGGGTTAGTGGGCCGGACCTCGGCTTGGGCCCTTAACCCAACACAAGTCCCCCACTTCTGATGTTCTGAGCATGCGCAGGACATAAGGAAGTATGAACCCCCCCGAAGTAGACGTCCGTATCTTGATACTTATGTTTATTGCATCTGGTGGAAGCGTACGCTCGTGGTCATGGTGCTTGACAGCTGTCGCCGGTTCAGGAAACGAGGTGACGGCTGATGTTGCGGCGGTGCATTTTCCCGAGGAGGTGTCATCATTACGTTCCCATCCCACGCACAGCGCGTGGCCGGGGTACGCTCCTTGCCACGTGTCGGCCCCTTGTTGGCTTCGCCATCGGTGTTTTCTCCTTTAAATACCGGGTTTTCCCTCTGAATTAGGGTTCCCAATTTCTGCCCTCTTGCTCCCGATTTTCCGCGGCTCTTCAAGTCTTCTTCTGAATCCGGCTAACCCCTTTGTAAGGTAATTTCCCCCCTCTGCTCCTTTTCTTGTTCTGATTCCTAGCCGAGATGACCTCGATGGAGATTTCGTCAAGCTCTGATTCCGGTTCGTCGGGTTCCTCCTCGGGCTCCTCTTCGGCCGATGTGAGTGCTCGCTCCACCGGGAAGGCCAGCATTTCTGGGACCTCTGGTTCAGCCACGACGGTGGGGACCATCCGGGCTGATGGCGAGCCGGATAATGTGTCGCAAAGTAGTGGGAGCGATGCCGGGGACGGGGGTGCTGACGGGGCCGTAGATGTTATTGACGCCGTCCCCCTGAACGAGCGCCCCGCCGGTTATGATTCTGCAGACGAGGCCCAATCTGGCTCCGACCTGGAGGTGCACGATTTAGGTATTCCCATGGATGTGCAGAGGCACATTTGCAAGATTAAGAGTGTCTTAGAGCACAGGCAGTCCCTCTCCAGCGTCGCTATGAACAAGATTGCTTCCTTCTTTCCCCATCCGTTCGTCTTTAGCCATAGCGGGGCCGAACATGCCATGCGGCGACGGCCGGGGATGATCATCCTGCATGTGGATTCTGTGGAGGCCGGTCTGCGGTTTCCTCTCCATCCCTTTTACGTGGAGTTCTTCAACTGCTACCAGGTGGTTCCGGCGCAGTTCATGCCCAACTCTTATAGATTTATCTCCGCATTCCTCGTGCGCTGTTCGTCCGCAAAAGCCGTCATATCGCTGGATCTGTTCCACTACTTCTACCGGGTCACCCCGCAGAATTCCGACGGTTACCTGAGTGTGGCCGCTCGTCCGAAGAGGAAGCTATTTGAGCACTATCCTTCCTCCATCCATGATTGGAAAAATAGGCTCTTTTTTCTTAGATATGACGGTCCTCCCCTCCCAATCCGGTGGAACGGCTACCCTCCGAAGATTGAGTCGCCGGCGCTGTCGGCCGGGCTGGAAGTGGAAGTGAAGAAAGTCCTGGAAGGCGGCGTTCGCCCTATAGGGGAATACCTGACCGTCGAGGCACTCTCTGAAGCAGGCATAGGTACCGCCCGTGTTCCTGGATTTCTTCCTCCCTTGGACGCTCGTCTCGGGGCACGGGCGGTCCTGTCCTCTGAGGTGGGTGTTCCTCCCTAGCCGAAGCAGCCTCTTCCTCTGCCCGACGGGCGGCCTCCCGAGCCTTCAGACGGCGCCAGTGTTGAGGTTTATTCCTTCAACCCTTGGACCCAACACGTAAGCCCAAAGATTTCGAGTGGAGTGAGTGTGTGGTTATCTAGCCCAACAACTATCAGATGAATCAGGAAACAAGAGTAATAGCAGGCAATGTAAATAGGTATTATTAACTTCGTAATAACTCCCCTAAGTACAATCTACTTGCTAAAAAGGGCACGTCGGCCGTTCGTCTTACAAGGCGATAGAAATGCTACTCGTAAGAATGCTGGAGCTAGTATGCTAAGAATAGAAAGTTGCCAACCCTTTACAATGAAATAAATGCTTCTATTTATACCCGCCAATGGGCAGGTGGCTGTACTGACGTGGCAGCCTGTGGACCGCTGGTGTCCCAACTACCAAATCTTTAGCATTAAATGCACTTCCCGCCAGAATCTAGGTTTCCCGCCGGATCAGTGGGGACGTTCGTCCACCCCGGAAGTGAGTTGGATTGCTCCAAGTGACCTTTGAGGGATATCGGCTGTTCGTCGCCTGGCCTTGATAGATACTCACTATGTGCACTGGGTTTTCCCCGATGACCACAGGCTTGCTCCGGGGACGTTCGTCGCCATCCCTGCTGGCCCGTGGTTCTGCTCTTTGTCTCTGCACAGACGTTCGTCGGAATGAGCTGCTGGGCCTGAGTCCTCCAACACCAGACGTTCGTCCATCCTCAAGAGACATGGGCCTGTGGGCTGGCCTGGTTTCTAGCTGGACGTTCGTCTGGCAAAATGGGTTAGTGGGCCGGACCTCGGCTTGGGCCCTTAACCCAACAAGTATATTTTAATTTTTTTTCATAAATCAGGAGAAAATCAGCCAATACAGCTACTAGTTAATAAATTTCAACAGAATCAACCAATTCAATCGATTTTAATTTTACCAAACGGGCTCTACTAAATTCGGAAGCCTAGCCAATGTT